CCATGCCCAGCCAAATTTTAAATTTTATTTATTTATTTATTTATATTTTTGTAGAGACGAAGTCTCACTCTGTCACCCAGGCTAGATCTCAGCTCACTGCAACCTCTGCCCCCCGAGTTCAAGCAATTCTCCTGCCTCAGCCTCCAGAGTAGCTGGGATTACAGGCGTGAGCCACCATGACCTGCTTGCTCATTTCTTTTGTATTTTAGTCTCGAACTCCTGAGCTCAGGCAATCTGCCAGGCTTGGCCTCCCAAAGTGCTAGGATTACAGGCGTGAGCCACCGCACCTAGCCTAATTTTTGTATTTTTCAGTAGAGATGGGTTTCTCAACGTTGACCAGGGTGTTCTTGAACTCCTGACCTCAGGTGATCCACCACCTCAGCCTCCCAAAGTGCTGGGATTACAGGCATGAACCACGACACTCGGCCATTTTTCTATCTTGGTTGCTGTCTTTTTTGCTTGCTGATTTGTAGCTGTTCCTTTTATTTTTTATTTGTTTTGAGATGGAGTCTCACTCTGTCTCCCAGACTGGAGCACAGTGGCTCAATCCCAGCTCACTGCAACTTCCACCTCCTGGGTTCAACTGATTCTCATGCCCCAGCCTCCTGAGTAGCTGGGATGACACAGCAATACTCACCACCAAAACTGGCTAATTTTTGTATTTTTAGTAGAGACAGGGTTTCACCATGTTGGCCAGGTTAGTTTCAAACTCCAGATCTTAAGTGATCCACCTGCCTCAGCCTCTCAAAGTGCTGGGATTACAGGCATGAGCCACTGCACCTGGCCAATATTCTAGATATTAATTTCTCATTGATTTTTAAATGTTGAAAACACGTTTTCTCTTTCTGTCATCTGATATTGGTCCCATGGTATCTTCGTTAAAAGAAAATCTGCCTGTAATCCCAGCATTTTGGGAGGCCTAGGTGAAAGGATCCCTTGAGCCCAGGAGTTCGAGACCACCCTGGGCAACATAGCAAGACCCCCCCATCTTTAAAATTAAAAAAAGAAGCCGGGCACGGTAGCTCACACCTGCAATCTCAGCACTTTGGGAGGCCAATGGGTGAATCACAAGGTCAGGAGTTCAAGAACAGGCTGGTCAAGATGGTGAAACCCCATCTCTATTAAAAATGCAAATTAGCTGGGTGTGGCTGTGGGCACCTGTAATCCCAGCTACTAGGAAGACTGAGGCAGAGAGTTCCTTGAAACTAGGAGGCTGAGGCTGCAGTGAGCCAAGATTGCGCCACTGCACTCCAGCCTGGGCCACAGAGCAAGATTCTGTCTCAAAAAAATAAATAAATAAAAATTTTTAAAAAATTAAATAAAATGAAAGAAAGAAAAACAACAAAAAAGAAAATCTATATTTGGATGTTATCATCTGCATCGTTTTTCTGCCTGATGAGTTTCTGTGGTTTGATTCAGCAGGACCTGCCTTTGTGGTCATCAGTGTTGGTATTGTGGGTACTCCTGGCAAGCGGCTAAGGCCGCCTGTGTATAGACAAGTGCCAGGATTCCTGCCCTCCTCTCTGAGGCTTTTCTGGGTCCCGAGCCTGGAGACACTGCCACACTGCAAAGTCTCTGCTCAGCCAGGATTGTTAAGTCACAGCTTCACAACACAGGTGCTACAGGAGATGGGCTGAGAGAGACATGGTCACACAGCATGGGGCTGGGGGTGGGGAGAGGGTGACACAGGCAGGAAGAGAGAGTCTGAAGCTACCATACCGGGCGCGGTGGCTCACGCCTGTAATCCCAGCACTTTGGGAGGCCGAGGCGGGTGGATCACGAGGTCAAGAGATCGAGACCATCCTGGTCAACATGGTGAAACCCTGTCTCTACTAAAAATACAAAAAATTAGCTGGGCATGGTGGCGCATGCCTGTAATCCCAGCTACTCAGGAGGCTGAGGCAGGAGAATTGCCTGAACCCAGGAGGCGGAGGTTGCGGTGAGCCAAGATCGGGCCATTGCACTCCAGCCTGGGTAACAAGAGGGAAACTCTGTCTCAAAAAAAAAAAAAGAGAACAGGTTCCGTGACCATCTAAATGTTCTGGTGTGGAATAAATATATATCCACAGTGCCTTCTTTTAGTGAAAAAGGAAAAGTGGAAAATATACTTCTGAGAGCACTGTTTCAATGAATGCAAGAGCACTGTTTCAAAACACACATACTATGTTTGGCAGAATCGCAGTAACTACTATGACCCATTTATTCCACTCCTGGGTACAATATGGTACATGCTGGGTTCACCAAGAGTCAGATGCTCAAATAGTCACAGCAGCCGCAACCTGGAAACAACTCAGGTGTCCATCACAGGAAAACTGATCAATACGTCATACAGGCCCCGCACAGTGCTTCATGCCTGTAAAGTCAGCACTTTGGAGGCATAGCCAGGAGGTTCACTTGTAGGAGTTCAAGATCAGCCTAGGCAACAAAGTGAGACGTGTTTCTACTGGAAAATAATAATTTTTAAAAATTAGCAGGGCACAGTGGTGTGCACTGGTAGTCCTAGCCACTCAGGAGGCTGAGGTAAGAAGATTGCTTTAGCCCAGGAATCTGAGGCTGCAGTGAGTTTGGATCTCGCTACCGTACTCCAGTCTTGGTGACAGAGCAAGACCGTGTTGTGGAGTCTTTTTTTTATCTTTGAGACAGAGATATGCTCTTGTTGCCCAGGCTGGAGTGCAATGGCATGATCTCAGCTCACTGCAACCTCTACCCTCTGGGTTCAAGTGATTCTCCTGCCTCAGCTTCCCCAGTAGCTGGGATTACAGGCATGCGCCACCATGCCCAGCTACTTTTGTATTTTTAGTAGAGATGGGGTTTCGCCATGTTCGTAGGCTGGTCTCAAACTCCTGACCTCAGGTGATCCACCCACCTCAGCCTCTCAAAGTGCTGGGATTACAGCCATGCACCACCACACCTGGCTACTTTTGTATTTTTAGTAGAGATGGGGTTTCGCCATGTTCGTAGGCTGGTCTCGAACTCCTGACTTCAGGTGATCCGCCCACCTCAGCCTCTCAAAGTGCTGGGATTACAGCCATGCACCACCACACCCGGCTACTTTTGTATTTTTAGTAGAGATGGGGTTTTGCCATGTTCGTAGGCTGGTCTCGAACTCCTGACCTCAGGTGATCCGCCCACCTCAGCCTCTCAAAGTGCTGGGATTACAGCCATGCACCACCACACCCGGCTACTTTTGTATTTTTAGTAGAGATGGGGTTTCGCCATGTTCGTAGGCTGGTCTCGAACTCCTGACCTCAGGTGATCCGCCCACCTCAGCCTCTCAAAGTGCTGGGATTACAGCCATGCACCACCACACCCGGCTACTTTTGTATTTTTAGTAGAGATGGGGTTTTGCCATGTTCGTAGGCTGGTCTCGAACTCCTGACCTCAGGTGATCCGCCCACCTCAGCCTCTCAAAGTGCTGGGATTACAGCCATGCACCACCACGCCCGGCTACTTTTGGATTTTTAGTAGAGATGGGGTTTTGCCATGTTCGTAGGCTGGTCTCGAACTCCTGACCTCAGGTGATCCACCCACCTCAGCCTCTCAAAGTGCTGGGATTACAGCCATGCACCACCACACCCGGCTACTTTTGTATTTTTAGTAGAGACGAGGTTTCACCATGTTGATCAGAATGGTCTGAAACTCCCGACCTCAACTGATCCACCCACCTCAGCCTCCCAAAGTTCTGGGATTACAGGCGTGAGCCACCACGCCAGGCCAAAAACAGGAATAAACTATAACCAAATATGATAACACAGAAGAACTTCAAAGACAAGACATGGTGAGAAAGAAGCCAGACACAGTACAGAAGTCCCTTTTTATCCAGCTAAAAACGAGACCAAACGACTGCACTAGGCTTTGGGTGAGCGGGGATCTGTGGGAAGAGACATGGGGGCTTGTGGAGGGTGCGAATGTTCTGCGTTTTGATTTGTATGAATGCCACACAGGTTTGCTCAGTCGCTGACATTTCATCAACCTAAATACTTAATGATTTGTGTTCTTTTTTTGTACTTCAATTTTTAAAAATGTCGAGCATGACACATTTAGGTAAAAAGAAAAAAATGCACACTCAAAAGAAAAGTCTGTATCTAGGAGCACACATTTAAATGATGCGTTTAGAAGCACAGACAGCAGTTTGGACGAAACTCGACATGTCATCTTGGTCCCTCCCTGCTTAAGAACGACAGGAGGGGATCCCCAAGGGCTTTACCTCCATCTGTAATGGTTTTTGATGTGTGTGTGTGTGTTTTTAAGGTCTGGCTCTGTCACCTACACTGAAGTGCAGTGGCACCATCTTGGCTCACTGCAGCCTCAACCTCTCTGGGCTCAAGTAATCCTCTTGCCTCAGCCTCCTGAGTACCTGGGAGGTCTCAAATTCCTGGACTCAGTCGATCTGCCTGCCTTGGTCTCCCAAAGTGCTGGGATGGCAGGCATGAGCCACCGTGCCTGGTCCAGTCCGTAATGTTTTTTAAGGTAACAGTGGACGGTGGGAGGATTAAATTAGTTAATATTTTTAAAGTCCTTAGAGCAGTGTGTAGTACACAGTAGGTGCTGTGTAGAGGTTTGTTAAAATAAAGTGAGAAAGTAAAAATGTTTTCCAGAGTATAGTATCACTTAAATTAGGAATAAAAGAAATCTGTGAAGAAATATACAAAATACTATGTCTTGTGAGTTTCCATTCAAACCTTCATGGATGATATACACATGTCTTTCTAGAAAGACAGACTTATCTTTTTGAGTGTGTGTGTGTGTGTGTTTTTACATAAATATTAGTCATGCTTTAAAAAGAAAAGTCCCTGCTTTTATTGAAGTATGATAGTGACAGGTCTTGAGACAGAGATGGGGGAGATAGAAAGCCCGCCTGGCGATGGAGGGTGGGAGAGCCAGCAGCGCCGGAAACCTCAGTTGAAGGGATCCCCGAGTGGGGGAGGGGGGCCTTTGGTCTCTCCCCAGCCTCTTCCTTCCCCCTGGCCTGAGAGGGTGGGTGGGGAGGGGCAGTTCCTCTTTCCTTCCCAAGCACCGAGGAGGCCCCAGCTCCCTAGGGGCTGAGAAGCTGGAGTCCTGGGGAAGGGGAGGAGCTGAGTCACAGTCTTGCAAGACCCCCGCCCTCCTCCGTCCACAGGAAGCATGAACAGAAAAGACAGCAAGAGGTGAGAGGACCCTCCCCAGGGAGCCCGGCAGCACCCTGAGGCCTCCCTCTGCATGGGAGGGCTGGGGGGAAAACTCACCATGGGGTAGGATGTCTGGCTCCTCTGGGATCCCGTGCAGGGGTGCCAGGTGGATGCTTCAGGGAGTCTGGAGCCAGTGAGGGCTGCAGTCACTTGTAGGTGGCATCTATGCCATGTTGCCCCTGGAGTTTGAGCTGTTTGGGGTCCCCTTGCCACTCCCTGTCACCCCACCTCCATCCCTGGCCTGGGCTGAGTGTCTCTGCCCTCCCTGGGGGCTTCCCGGTTCCCCATCCCCTACTGGACTGGAAACTCCAGGCTCCTGCAGGGTCCTGCCCTAGGAGAGGGGAGTGTGACATGGGCCAAGGCAGTTCCCCTGCCTCTTAAGTCACTCATGGGGCTGTTTCAGACCCCCGCAGGGGACTGCAGGATGGGGCCTAGTGGCCGGCCATGTAGCCAGTTCTGGCATGGGCTCCTATCTCCTTGGCAAGCTGGCCCTTCTGTCCCCATAGAGGCAGAGAGTGGCTGGCTCCCTAGCCTGGGTAGCTCCTCCTGCCATCCCCAGCACCACTCTGATGGGCAAAGGGCTTTCCTCTCTACCTGGCCGTTTAGTGGTAGACAGCTGGCTGCCTCACTTCCTAGTTGTGTGACCTTAGGTAAGTCACTGAACTGCTCTGTCTCGGGTTTTACTTATGTCAACAGAATAATCATAACCTCCACCCTGGAGACACCTGTAAGTACTCAGTGAGACAGTCTAGACCCGTGGTTCTCAGACTGCAGCAAGCCTCTGAACTGTCGGGAGGGTTTGTAAAATACAGGTTGCTGGGCTTACCCTTAAAGTGTTTGATTTTGTAGGTCTGGGTTGGGACCTGAGAATCTGTATTTATATCCAGTTCCCAGGTGATGCTTTTGGTACTAGCTGGGTACCCACACTTAGGGAAACACTGATTTAGATAAATGCTCCCTCCTTGGCTTAGTACACATTTAATACTTTAAAACTGGTGCACACCTGTAATCCCAGCACTTTGGGAGGCCGAGGAGGGCAGATCACAATGTCAGGAGTTCAAGACCAGCCTGACCAACATGGGAAAAACCCCGCCTCTACTAAAAATGTAAATATTAGCCGTGTGTGGTGGCACGCCCCCGTAATCCCAGCTACTCGGGAGGCTGAGGTAGGAGAACCACTTGAACCTGGGAGGTGGAGGTTGCAGTGAACTGAGATCCTGCCACTGCACTCTAGACTGGGCGACAGAGCAAGACTCAGTCTCAAAAAAAAAAAAAAAAGTCCCTACTGGTAAAGGTGGCTTATGCCTCTAATCCCAGCATTTTGGGAGGATAAGGAGAACTTGAGGCCAAGAGTTCTAGACAAGCTTGGGTTATATTATCCTAACATACATATTATATATATAGTGAGACTCCCATCCACACTCACACACAAAATTAGCTGGGTATGATGGTGCATACCTGTAGTCCCAGCTACCCGGGAGGCTAAGGCAGGAGGATCACTTGAGTCCAGCAGTTCAAGGTCATATTGAGCTTTGATTACATCACTGTACTCCAGCCTGAGAGACAGAGCAAGAAAGACCCTGTCTAAAAAAGGGTAGAGGTGGGGGCCTGGCATGGTGGCTCACGCCTGTAATCCCAGCACTTTGGGAAGCTGAGGCAGGCAGGTTAGGAGTTCGAGACCAGCCTGGCCAACATGGTAAAACCCTGTCTCTGCTAAAAATACAAAAATTGGCTGGGCGTGGTGGCACGTGCCTGTAGTCCCAGCTACTTGGGAGGCTGAGGCAAGAGAATTGCTTCAACTCAGGAGGTGGAAGTTGCAGTGAGCTGAGATCGCACCACTGCACTCCAGCCTGGGTGCCAGAGTGAGATCCTGTCTCCAAAAAAGAAATTCCCTGAGGAAGGTCCAAGGATTATCCTCATTTTTCCTTTGAGGAAACTGAGCCCCTGAGAAATTAAGTGACAAAGTCACATTAACACAAAGTCACAACAGCTGGCAGAAATTTCTGGATTCTACTTTCGTCTGAAGGCTAGATTTAGTTCTCTCCCTCCTCCCACCATACCTGTCTCTCCATTCCCTGGGAGGTACCAGGCAGAGGGAGGATTATTTTCACAGCTTCCTTGAAGCTGCCTCAGCCTCAGGGACCTCTCACCTGGCTCTTAGGAGCCCCAGAGAAGCTCACTTGGCATTGGTATTTCCTCTCCAGTTCCAAATCTGGGCACCCAGGCCACAGGCTAAAGCTGCAGGTCCTGTCGGAGGCTAACTTGGGGGAGGGGTCTGTCACCTTAGTGGAGTGAAGGTGTGGGAGAAGGGGAGAGACAAAATCCAGGGGGTCTCCCTGCAGGAGTCTTACTATTTTATTTTATTTACTAATTTATTTATTTTGAGACAGTCTCACTGTCACCCAGGCTGGAGTGCAGTGGCGTGATCTCGGCTCACTGCAACCTCCACCTCCCAAGTTCAAGCAATTCTCCTGCCTCCGCCTCCTGAGTAGCTGGGTCTACAGGTGGCCACCACCACACCCAGCCAATTTTTGCATTTTTAGTAGCAACGGAGTTTTACCACGTTGTCTAGGCTGGTCTCTGACTCCTGATCTCAAGTGATCTACCCTCCTCGGCCTCCCAAAGTGCTGAGATTACAAGCATAAACCAGGTCTCTCTTTCATTTTTATTATTTTTGAAACAGAAATCACTCTGTCACTCAGGGTTGGAGGGAAGTCATACAGTTTCGGCTCACTGCAGCCTCTACCTCCCTGGTTCAAGCGATCCTCCTGCCTCAGCCTCCCGAGTAGATGGGATTACAGGCGCCTGCCACCATGCTAGACCAATTTTTGTATTTTTAGTAGAGATGGGGTTTCACCATGTTGGCCTAGGTGGTCTCGAACTCTTGGCCTCAAGTGATTACCCGTCTTGGCCTCCCAAAGTGCTGGGATTACAGGTGTGAGCCATCACACTGGCCCAGGAGACTTGCTCTCTTGAGGGCTGGGGGAGGCAGGAGGATCGGGTGTTGGAGACCATATCCCTGAGGATATGGGTCCTGAAGGCAGGTCCTCCCATGCCTCTCCCTGGGGAGGACAGCAGAGAGCCCAGGCGTCTTCTCCCACGATTCCCTGGGAGACCAGGAGTAATCCCAGGATCTGGCAACAGGAAGTCTCTTTCGGGATCCCTTGGAAGCAGTCAGGAAGTTGGGGCAAGGCCTGGGGAGGGAGTTCTTATCATTCCCTCAGGGGTCCTGAGTGGTCCTGGGGGGTCTTCTGCTGTGATTCCCTGGGGGATTCAGAGTCATCCTGGGCAGCGGTCCCCAGCCTTTTTGGCACCAGGGACCGGCTTTGTGGAAGGGGGTGGGGATAGTTTGGGGATGATTCAAGCTCATTACATTTATCGTAAGCTTTATATTATTATTACATTGTAATAGATAATGAAATAGTTATACAACTCACCATAATGTAGAATCAGTGGGAGCCCTGAGCTTGTTTTCCTGCAACTGGATGGTCCCATCTGAGGGTGATGGGAGATGGTGACAGATCATCCGGAATTAGATTTTCAAGGGAGCGGATACCTAGATCCCCCGAACACATGCGCAGTTCACAATAGGGGTCCAGCTCCTGTGAGACACTATTGCAGATGCTGATCCCAACAGGAGTTCAGGAGGGGTTGCTCACTCACCCCATGGCTCTAACAGGCCACAGACTGGCACTGGTCCATGTCCCTGGGGCTGGGGATCCCTGGTCTTGAGGATCTTCCCCTCTGCTTCCCTGAAGGGAGTAGGAGTAGCCCTAAAAATTTGTTTGTTGGGGAGGGCTCCCATGACTCCCCTAGGGATCTGGAATGTTCCTGGGGGTTCTTCCATGAGTCCCTAGTAGGTCAGCAGTAACCCCGGGGCTTTGCCTCTAGGCAGCCTCTCCCATGGTGCCTTGGGGCATTGGGGTCAAGAGGAATTCTAGGGTCTGCCTGAAGGAAGGGGCTCCCATGACTCCCTGAGGGCTGTGCCCACAGGAAGTCCCACCAGGAATGCACCGGAAAGACAGGAGGGCGGGGCCGGCCCCGCCAAGCGCGCCGCCACAAGACATGCCCCAGCCCCCGGGAAATCAGCAAGGTCATGGCTTCCATGAACCTGGGCCTGCTGAGTGGGGGCGGCTGCAGCGAAGATGAGCTGCTGGAGAAATGCATCCAGTCCTTTGGTGAGTGTCCTCTCCCCAGCAGCCTCCCCGCCCTAACAGCTCAGCACCTGCCTCTCTTCGGCTCAGTTTTTGCAGGTAAAATGAGAGCAGGCTGGATGGAATGAAACTCAATCACTACATTAGAGATAAGAGAAACACCCGCTTTGCTTCTTTCCTGAAATGAAAATATATACATATATATGTATTTATTTATATATATATATATATATTTTTTTTTTTTTTTTTTTTGAGACGGAGTCTTGCTCTGTCACCAGGCTGGAGTGCAGTCGCACCATCTTGGCTCACTGCAACCTCCGCCTCCCGGGTTCAAGTGATTGTCCTGCCTCAGTCTCCTGAGTAGCTGGGACTACAGGTGCTCTTGTCATCATGCCTGGCTAATTTTTGTATTTTTAGTAGAGGCAGGGTTTCACCATGTTGGCCAGGATGGTCTCCCTCTGACCTCATGATCCACCTGCCTTGGCCTCCCAAAGTGCTGGGATTACAGGCATGAGCCATCTTACCCGGCTATATTTTTTTCTTTTCTTATTCTTTTGAGACAGAGTCTTGCTCTGTCACCCAGGATGGAGTACAGTGGCCTGATCTCAGCTCACTGCAACCCCTACCTCCCGAATTCGAGTGGCTCTCCTGCCTCAGCCTCCCAAGTAGCTGGGATTACAGGTGCTCACCACCATGCCCAGCTAATTTTTGTATTTTTAGTAGAGACGGGGTTTCACCATGTTGGCCAGGCTGGTATCAAACTCATGACCTCATGTGATACACCCGATTCGGCCTCCCAAAGTGCTGGGATTACAGGGGTGAGCCACCATGCCTGACTGGTCTGGTGCTATTTCAATCTTCAACAAGCCTTGCCAGGGGTGATGCTGCCTCACGTACAACACAGATAAGGAAACTGAGGCAGGCTGCCTGTCCAAAGTCATGCCAGGGATCACTGTTAGAGCTGGCCTTTGAACCAGGCAGTCTGGCAGGATCTGGAGGCTGCATTGTGTATTGCCTGAGGGCCATTCTGTCACAGAGTCCCCCTCCTTCCACCCCAGACTCAGCTGGCAGCCTGCGCCATGGGGACCACGTGCTCAACATGGTGCTAGCCATGCACAGCTGGGTGCTGCCCTCTGCCGACCTGGCTGCCCGCCTGCTGACCTCATATCCTCCGAGACTGTGAGCTATGGGTGGAGGGCAAGGGACAGAGAGCCTGGGCAATGGGAATGCGGAGCGGGCAGGTCACAAATCCTGGAGAACAGAGCCTTGACCAGAACTCAAGTATCAGAAGGCCACAGGGGACGCCCAGGAGCTGAGGCGGCTGCAGATCTGCCACCTGGTCAGGTAGGGCTGGGCCAAGATCCCCACTCTTAGGACCCAAGACTTCCATCCTGCTGTCCCCCAAAAAACATTCCTCAGAGACTCCCCAGCCCAGTTCCCACAGACCCAATCAGCCCCACAGGCCAAAATCCCACTTCTGAGACACTCCTGGCTTGGTTCCTAAGACTCTCAGTTCTGTTCCCTAGAATCCCCACTTCCTTTCTGCTTTTTGTTTTTTTGAGACAGAGTCTCATTCTGTTGCTCAGGCTGGAGTGCAGTGGTGTGATAGCTCACTGGAACCTCGGCCTCCCGGGTTAAAGCAATTTTCCTGCCTCAGGCTCTCAGGTAGCTGGGATTACAGCCATGAGCCACCATGCCCGGCTAATTTTTTTGTATTTTAGCAGAGATGGGGTTTCACCATACTGGCCAGGCTGGTCTTGAACTCCTGATCCACCCACCTTGGTCTCCCACAGTGCTGGGATTACAGGTGTGAGCCACTGCACCTGGGAGAACCCCCACTTCCTAGAGACTCCCCCCCTCACCAACCGGTGAATCCCATAGACCCTCCTAGCTGGTACCCAGAGGCTTCCAGCTCTGATCCCCAAAACCTCCACCTCCCACAGATCCCAGCCTAGCCCCTAAGACCCCCTTATTCTGTCCCCCCAAAAATCTCACCCCTAGAAGCCCCTAGTCTAGTTCCTAGGACCCTCTACTATCCTGCTTCCCAACAATCACACTCCCAACAGCCTCCGAGGTCTATTTGCCACAGATACCCCCAGCCTGTGTTGAGACCCTATCCTCCTCCAGAGATTCCCCCAGCCTGGTGCCCCTCCAAACACCAACCCTCCAGGTACCCCCGCACATATTTAGAGACCCCTAGCTCAGCACCTAGAGATTCCTCAGCCCAAAAGATCCCCTGCAGAGACCTTCGCCACCCCCAGCCTCATCTCACCATCTCCACATCACTCTCAGGTACTGGCTGACCCAACACCCTGAAGTGATGCACCAGGACTCCCAGCTGGAAGAAGTCATGGGTCGTTTCTGGGCCACGGTGGCCCAGGAGGGCAACTCGGCCCAAAGGAGCCTGGGGGGCTCCTCTAACCTGTGAGTCAGCCCTGTGCCCCACTCTTCTCTGCCCCATCCCCATTCTGCCATCTCCCTCCACACCCCCAATCCCTCCCCTGTGAGCCACTCCAATACGCTGCCCCTTTTGGCCCCCAGCCTGAGCCCTGGTGGCCCTGGGCCCCCACCCCCCATGAACAGCCCAGGCCTAGGCAAAAAGCGCAAAGTGTCCTTGCTTTTCGACCACCTGGAGACGGGGGAGCTGGCTCAGCACCTCACCTACCTGGAGTTCCGGTCCTTCCAGGCTATCACGGTGAGGACCCCCTCCCGTCCCTGTCCCAAGCAGGGGAGAGATTGGGGTGGGGTAGGGATTGTCTGGGGCAAGCCAGGACTGAGGGGACACCTGCATGGTTATTCAGCAGAGATCTCAAAGTCTTAAACTGTCAAAGCTGGGTGCTAGAGGGTCCAGGAAAATGAGTTAAAGAGGCCGAGGCAGGTGGATCACCTGAGGTCAGGAGTTTGAGACCAGTCTGGCCAACATGGTGAAACCCCATCTCTACTAAAAATACAAAAATTAGCGGGCGTGATGGCAGGCACGTGTAACCCCAGCTACTTGGGAGGCTGAGGCAGGAGAATTGCTTAAACCTCAGGAGGCGGAGGTTGCAGTGAGCCGAGATCATGACACTGTACTCCAGCCTGGGCGACAGAACGGGACTCTGTATCAAAAAAAAAAAAAAAAAAAAAGAAAGAAAAATAAAAATAACAAAATGCTTATTGCAGCGATTGGCACTTAGTAAGTGCTCATAATATATTATCATTGATTCAATAAGCATTTAAACTCACAGTACCTCAGTTTCCTCATCTGTAAAAAGGGGATATGAACAGTTCCTGCCTTGTAGGAGCAATGCCTGGTCCAGGGTAAATGCTATCTGGTTGAACCATTTGAAATTGACATATGTTGGCTACCCCAGGGTCAATTTCAAGTGCTTCAATGTCTTAGCTTTGCCATCTGATCATTTCAAGAGAAGGTGGGGATCTGGTTCTTTCATGCGAAAATTTCCCGAGTGTGTGTGTGTGCAGATATACTCAGTGTGGTGGATGTGGGTATGAAATGAACACTCTGGGCAGAACAGATAGAGGTTGATTTCAAGTCATCCTCCCCATCCTTCCCTTTGCTGACCGTGTACAGTTAAGAGTATATAGACTCAGTTCCCGCCCAGACTCACACCTGTGTGACCCTGGGCAAATTACCTATCCTCTCTGTGCCTCAACTGTCTAATCTCTAAAATGGAATGATACCTCATAGAGTTATGAGGATTAATTAATATGATTATGTGTCAAATATAGTGCCTGGCTATATATTTATTTATTATTTTTATTTTTTTGAGACAGAGTCTTGCTCTGTCACCCAGGCTGGAGTGCAGTGATGCGATCTTGGCTCACTGCAGCCTCCACCTCCCAGGTTCAAGTGATTCCCATGCCTCAGCCTCCCGAGTAGCTGGGATTACAGGCATGTGCCACCACACCCAGATAATTTTCGTATTTTTAGTAGAGATGGGTTTTACCATGTTGGCCAGGATGGTCTCCATCTCCTGATCTCGTGATCCACCCGCCTCAGCCTCCCAAAGTGCTGGAATTACAGGTGTGAGCCACTGGGCCCGGCAGTTCCCGGCTATATTTAAACATGCTATGCCTCCTCAGATGGGAAAGGACCATGGTGACGTCAGGGACGTGCAGCTGCGGTGGGAGTGAGGGGGACAAAGGTCCCTCGGGGTAGACCAGGCTAGGACATCAGAGGTCTTGACTACTAGTTGGATGCCATGGAAGGGCAGGGCCTGAGCGCTACGGCCCGCCTTGACACCCACCTCGCTCCCAGCCCCAGGACCTGCGGAGCTACGTTTTGCAGGGCTCAGTGCGGGACTGCCCGGCTCTGGAGGGCTCTGTAGGTCTCAGCAACAGCGTGTCCCGCTGGGTGCAGGTGATGGTGCTGAGCCGTCCCGGGCCCGCACAGCGCGCACAGGTGCTGGACAAGTTCATTCACGTGGCACAGGTGAGGCCCGCCCTGTGGGGCTGCGAACGCCACTGCACCCAGCTACCTGGCCCTCCGCCTTCCAGGCCCTCGACCCCATCTCCCTCCTCCCTCCTATCTCCCGCCTCCGCCCCCGAGGCCACAGTCCGGGCGCTCCAACCCAGGACGTAACTTCTTCTTTGGCCTTGATGCTACCGCGTCCCACCCAACGTGGCCCTACCCCTTGGCCCTAGCGACGTGACAGGCTCCCAACCCCTATGTCCGAATGTTCTATCCAAAGGTCAATGACAGCGTCCCTTTCATGCCCCCACCTTTGTGCCATCCTCCACCGAGGCCTCCATTCCCAGTCCCCGGCCCCCAGCGGTCGCTTCGGGATTGTGCCTCGCTCCCCATGGCGTCCGGTCTCTCCCTGCCCCGCCCCATCGTGTTACGCCCTTCTCTCCCCCTCCCTACCCGCTCCTTTCCGGACACCTTCCCGCCCTTCTGGGGAAAAGGGAAGCCCTCCGCCCGCCATTGCCGCGCCCCCTTGCGTATTTCCACGAAGACCAAGACCACACCCTTCCTTTGACGTCTTCCCTGGCTCGCTTCCTCCTGCAGGGCCTCTTAGACCTGGGGGTCCCGACGTCTGCCTGGGGCCTGCTTGGTCTGAGCATTTTCCCTTTCTCCCTGGCTCCACTCTCTCCACAGCAACCTCTGCCCAAATTTGTAAAAGGAAGGGCGAGGGAATTCCCCAGCTGCCGAGGTGGCCCCACACCTGTCTAGCATCTCTCCGGCCCTGTTCACCTCTGCCACACTTCCAGCTCCTGCCCAGAATCTGCGCCTTCTTGTCTCCCTGCACCTGTCTGACTCTCAGTCAGACCCCCAGATGCCTGACACTCTGATGTGTCTGGACCCTCCCCCACCTGTCTGTTCCCCAAATCCACCCAACTTCCCATACTTCCTGCCTCCCCAGATTTTCTTTTGTTTTTCTTTTTGAGATAGAGTCTCGCTGTTGCCAGGCTGGAGTGCAGTAGCACGATCTCGGCTCACTGCAACCTTCACCTCCCAGGTTCAATCGATTCTCCTGCCTCAGCCTCCTGATTAGCTGGGATTACAGGTGCCCACCACCACACCCAGCTAATTTTTGTATTTTTAGTAGAAACGGGGTTCCATCATGTTGGCCAGTCTGGTCTCCATCTCTTGACCTCGTGATCTGCCCGCCTCGGCCTCCCAAAGTGCTGGGATTACTGGCATGAGCCACCGCACCCGGCCAGATTTTCTAACCTCACATCAGTCCATCACCGGCTTATCCCTCCCGGCTCAGATCACCATCTGACACCCCCATGAGGACCACACATTGCACGTCTGACTCCTGCCCTACACAGCCCCCTTCTCTCACCTGCCTGATCCCCACACTGCTCCACACCCACACATGCCTGGAATCCCAACTCAACTGGGATGCTGTCATCTGAACTCCCAACTTGCCCATCCTCCTGTGACGACCCTGTGTCGTGCTTCCCTTCCTAGAGGCTCCACCAGCTACAGAATTTCAACACGCTGATGGCGGTCACAGGGGGTCTGTGTCACAGTGCCATCTCCAGACTCAAGGACTCCCATGCCCACCTGAGCCCTGACAGCACCAAGGTGAATCCCCACTACCCTCCCAAAAGCTCCAAGTGGTCAGCTATCCTGAACCCCCAAACCTAATTAGCAAGCCCTGTCCATCCCTGCCCAGGGGCCCTGGAACCCACATGAAGTCCTTGTTCCTCCAAATCCCAGACCCCCAGGCTCTGCCAGCATTCCTCCTCCCTGGCATCCATCCACCCATCGTGCTGACACCTCTCCCAGCGTGTCTGGTCCTGAGCTGGACTATGAGGGAGACAGATGGGAGAGAAGCTAGCAGAGAGCTTTGCAGTCCCCATGGGGAGGACTGGCTGAGATCAGAAAATGGCAGGAAATTAGGCCAAAGGTGCCCTGGGAAGATCCTCTTGAGCCTTGCAAGCTGGGCTAAGCTAAGGAAGTTTGAGAGTGATGACACACCTGTGATAAGATCTGGCTTTTTAAAGAAACAATTATAGACTGGGTACGGTGGCTCACACTTGTAATCCTAGAGTTTTGGGAGGCTAAAGCAGGAGGATTGCTTAAGTCCAGGTGTTTGAGACCAGCCTGGGCAACATAATAAGACTCCATCTCTAAAAAAAAAAAATTTTGTCACCCAGGATGGAGTGCAGTGGTGCGATCTCAGCTCACCACAACCACTGCCTCCCAGTTTTAAGCGATTTGCCTGCCTTAGCCTACCAAGTAGCTGGGATTACAGGCAGGTGCCACGATGCCTGGCTAATTTTGTATTTTTAGTAGAGATGGGGTTTCTCCATGTTGGTCAGGCTGGTCTCGAACTCTTGACTTGTGCCCACCTCGGCCTCCCAAAGTGCTGGGATTACAGGCGTGTGCCACCGCACCTAGCCTAATTTATTTTTAAATTTTTTTTGGCCGGGCATGGTGGCAAAATAGTCTGAAAAAAATAAATAAAAATAAATAAGCCAGCTTTGGTGGCCCATGCCTATAGTCCCAGCTACCTGGGAGGCTGAGGGGGAGGACTGCTGGAGTCCAGGAGTTTTTCGTTGTTGTTGTTATTGTTTGAGAAGGAGCCTCACTCCATCTCCCAGGCTGGAGTGCAGTGGCGCAATCTCAGCTCACTGCAGCCTCCACCTCCTAGGTTCAAGTGATTCTCCTGCCTCAGCCTCCCGAGTAGCTGGGATTACAGGCCTGTACTATCAGGCCCAGTTAATTTTTGTAGTTTTAGTAGAGACAGGGTTTTACCATGTTTCCCAGGCTGGTCTTGAACTCCTGACCTCAGATGATCTGCCTGCCTTAGCCTCCCAGGCATAAGCCACAATACCCAGCCATCAAGCCCAGGAGTTTAAGGCTGCAATGAGCCGTGATCATTACAATGCACTTCACCCCAGCATGAGTGACAGAGTGAGACCCCCCCCATCTTAAAAAAAAAAAAAAAAAAAAAAAGGTCTGGGTACGGTGGCTCACGCCCATAAGTTATCCCAACACTTTGGGAGCCCAAGTCAGTGGATCACCTGAGGTCAGGAATTCGAGACCAACCTGGCCAACATGGTAAAACCCCATCTCTACTAAAAATGCAAAATTAGCCGAGTGCGGTGGCACATGCCTGTAATCCCAGCTACTCAGGAGGCTGAGGCAGGAGAATCGCATGAACCCAGGAGGTGGAAGTTGCAGTGAGCCGAGATCACGCCATTGCACTCCAGCCTGGGCAACAAGAGTGAAACTCTATCTCAAAAAGAAAGAAAGAAAGATAAAAGAAATCATTTTAGCCAAAGAATGGGGGATTGTGGGACTTCTCTGAGATGGGGACACAAGAGGAAGAGCAGTTTGGGGGAGATGCTGAGAGCAGCATGGGATACAGAAGGGCTCAGGAGGTGTCTAAAATGCCACTGGGTCCCTGAAGGCCTCGAGCCCACCCAGGAGGCTGCTAGGATACCCGTCCAGGTGGCGCACGGGACGGGAATGCCCTGATAACCCCGATCCCATGTCCCTCCTGCCCAGGCCCTGCTGGAGCTCACTGAGCTCCTTGCCTCCCACAACAACTATGCCCGCTACCGCCGCACCTGGGCTGGCTGTACAGGCTTCCGGCTGCCTGTGCTGGGCGTGCACCTCAAGGACTTGGTGTCCCTACATGAGGCACAGCCTGACAGGTTGCCTGACGGCCGCCTGCACCTATCCAAGCTGAACAGCCTCTACCTGCGGCTGCAGGAGCTGGCGGCCCTCCAAGGGCAGCGTCCACCCTGCAGTGCCAACGAGGACCTGCTGCACCTGCTCACGGTGAGCCCCCAGCCCCGCCCAGTCTGGGCTTCTGAGGGTACTGAGATGTAGGGTCCTGGACGCGTGAAGGTCTCCAGGACTAGGGTAGAAAAGCGGTGGCGTGCACAGGCTTTGAAGCCAGAGCTTCCAGGTTTTTTTCTAGCTTCGTGATCTCAAGTCACTGATCCCTCAGTTTCCTTATCCACAAAATGGGAATAATAAAAGTAGCTACTTCAGAGGGTGCTTGAAGAGAGACAACCAATGACATCATTCAAAGAAAGTCCTTAAGACAGTATCTAGCAGGGCACAGCAGCTCATGCCTGTCATCCTAGCACTTTGGGACACTGAGTTAGGCGGATTGCCCGAGATCAGGAGTTTGAGACCAGCCTCTACAAAGTAGAGATGGTGAAACTCCATCTCTACTAAAAATACAAAAAAAATAGCCAGGCGTGGTGGTGCATGCTTCTAGTCCCAGCTACTTGGGAGGCTGATGCGTAAGAATTGCTTGAACCTAGGAGGAGGAGATTGCAGTAAGCCAAGATCACGCCACTACACTCCAGCCTGGGTGACAGGGTGAGACTCTGTCTCAAAAAAAGAGCCGGGCACTGTGGCTCACGCCTGTAATCCCAGCTCTTAGGGAGGCAGAGGCGGGAGGATAGCTTGAGCCCAGGAGTTTGAGACCTGCCTGGGCAATATAGCGAGACTCCGTTCTCCACAAAAAGGAAAAAAACAAAAAGACAAAAAAAAAAAAAAAAAAAAAAAAGAGGCCAGGCACCGTGGCTCAAGCCTGTAATCCCAGCACTTTGGGAGGCCGAGGCGGGTGGATCACGAGGTCAAAAGATCGAGACCATCCTGGCCAACATGGTGAAACCCCGTCTCTACTAAAAATACAAAAAATTAGCTGGGCATGGTGGCGCGTGCCTGTAATCCCAGCTACTCGGGAGGCTGAGATAGGAGAACTGCCTGAACCCAGGAGGCGGAGGTTGCGGTGAGCCGAGATCGGGCCATTGCACTCCAGTCTGGGTAACAAGAGCGAAACTCCGTCTCAAAAAAAAAAAAAAGACAGTATATGGAGCAGATAAGTTACTATATAAGTAACATGTTTCTTCCCCACTTCCCCTAGTGACTCAACTGTCCATTGATCTGAGCTCTGGAATTGCTGTGGGGTTCACATTTTTTTTTTTTTTTTGAGACTTAGTTTCACTCTTGTTGCCGAGGCTGGAGTGCTGTGATGCAGTCTCACCTCACTACGACTTCTGCCTCCAGGTTCAAGGAATTCTCCTGCCTCAGCCTCCGGAGTAGCTGGAATTACAGGCATGTGCCACCATGCCCAGCTAATTTTGTATTTTTAATAGAGACAGGGTTTCTCCATGTTGGTCAGGCTGGTCTTGAATTCCCTACGTCAGGTGATCTGCCCACCTTGGCCTCCTAAAGTGCTGGGATTACAGGTATGAGCCACCGCGCCTGGCCTGGGGTTCACATTCCTAAATCCCAAGGTTCTGAGCTTCTCATGATGATAACCCCAAATCTCAAGCTTTGACATATCCAAGAATCTAAGCAAAAGGCTAATAACAATTATTCATCATTGCCTATGTGCCAGGAGCCTCATTCCATCTTACAACCTTATGAGGTTGGGACCCTTACTGTATCCATTCCGTGAACTGGGAAACTGAGGCCCAGAGAGGTGGAGTCACTTGCTCAGTCCCACAGCAGTAATGCTAGGATTTGACCCCAGGAGGGGCTTTGAGAAGAGCCTGCAAATGGGTGTGGGGGCCGGGCGGGGCTGTTGATAGACGGAGCTGTAATACTCCTGTCTGCTGCAGCTCTCCCTGGACCTCTTCTACACAGAGGACGAGATCTATGAGCTCTCTTATGCCCGGGAGCCACGCTGTCCCAAGAGTCTGGTGAGACCCAATCCCTAACCTGGGACCCCCTCCTACAATTACTTCCAACTCCCCTGAGCCTATGCAGTGACTAACTCTGCCCCTCTGTCCCTGCCCCAGCCACCCTCCCCCTTCAAAGCTCCTCTGGTGATGGAGTGGGCCCCTGGTGTGACATCCAAGCCGGACAGGGTCACACTGGGTCGGCACGTGGAGCAGCTGGTGGAGGTGAGGAGGGGAGGGTGGCCTGGCCACCAGGAGCCAGGAGGGAAGACATCTGTAGAACCCTGAGCCTGGAGGTGGGGACTTGCAGCCCTGGGGAGCATAGTTCCCTGACTGGGCCTTACCTGCTTCCCCACACTCCTCTGAAGTCCGTGTTCAAGAATTACGACCCTGAAGGCCGAGGAACCATCTCTCAGGAGGACTTTGAGCGGCTCTCAGGCAATTTTCCCTTCGCCTGCCATGGGCTTCACCCACCCCCACGCCAGGGGTGAGTGGTTCTGGCTCCTGGATCCCCCGAAGATGACTCCCAGGTCTGGGGGAGTTTGGGGCCGGTCATGCTGAGGCTCACTTTCTGTCCCTAGGAGAGGCTCCTTCAGCAGAGAGGAGCTGACGGGGTACCTGCTCCGGGCCAGTGCCATCTGCTCCAAGCTGGGCCTGGCCTTCCTGCACACCTTCCATGAGGTCACCTTCCGCAAGCCTACCTTCTGCGACAGCTGCAGTGGCTTCGTGAGCACTCTGCCTCATCACCACTCTTAGGTTCCATCTGTCCTGGAGCCGGCAACCCCAAGCCCCAGAAAACCCCCCAATTCCAGAAATCCTCCAGCCTCGAATTATCCTGTTTCATATAAACCCTAAACACCAGACATTCCCTATATCCTGGATAATCTCCAAATGCCAGAGAATCCCCAAATCCCAGATAATCCACATCCCCAGAAAAATCACTGAATCACGGATAATATCTAAAACTCTAGATAGGAGGTCAGGAATGGTGGCTCACGCCTGTAATCCCAGCACTATGGGAGGCTGACGTGGGTGGACTGCTTGAGCTCAAGAGTTCAAGATCAGCCTAGGCAACATAGCGAGACCCTGTCTCTTCTAAAAGTATAAAAATTAGCCACATGTGGTGGTGCACACCTATGATCTGAGCTACTAGGGATCACAGAATTGCTTGAACCCAGGAGGTGGAGGTTGCAGTGAGCCAAGATTGCACCACTGCACTCCAGCCTGGGTGACAGAGGGAGACTGTGTCTCAAAAAAAAACTTGGATAATCTCCAAAACTGGGTGGACTATGTTCAAACAGCATCATCCTCCAAATCTCTAGACTCCAGTTCATTCCAACCCTGAATAATTTCCAAATTCAAGATATCTTCATACTCTGGCTAGTGGATCAGTCTCTCAACCTCTAACCAGAGACTAATTCACAAACCCTGGATTACTTCCCACATTCATTTATTTATTCACGAAATAATTACTGAGCACCTCCTGTGTGCCATGCAATCTAAGGCTGTGGGGATAAAGTAGGAATACAGCAGATAATTCCTGCCCAAGGAATTTGCATTTTAGGCCAGCTGGGATCACTTGAGGTCGAGAGTTCAAGACCAGCCTGATTAGCATGGAGAAACCCTGTGTCTACTAAAATTACAAAATTAGCCGGGCATGGTGACACATGCCTGTATTCCCAGCTACTCGGGAGGCTGAAGCAGGAGAATCAATTGAACTCAGGAGGCTGAGGCAGGAGAATTGCTTGAAACTGGGATGGTGACCCTGTAGTGAGCCCAGATCAAGCCACTGCACTCCAGCCTGGGCAACAAGAGCAAAACTGTGTCTCAAAACAAAACAAAAATTGCATTTTAGTAACTTGAAATTTTAACTAAATCTAATATCCTAGGTGATTCTCTAAACTTGAGATAATCTCCAAGTTTCCTTTATTTATTTTGTTAAAAGATGAAAGAAGGTCTTGCTCTGTCACCCAGGCTGGAGTGTAGTGGTGTGATCGTTGTTCATTGCAGCCTCCAACTCCTAAGCTCAAGTGCTCCTCTCACTTCAGCTGATCCTCTTACTTCAGCCTCCCAAGTGGCTGGGGCTACAGGTGTACGCCACTATGCCCAGCTAATGGCTAATTTAAACAATCTTTTTGTAGAGACAGGGTTCTCCCTATGTTGCCCAGGCTGGTCTTGAACTCCTGGACTCAAGCGATCCTCCCACTTTGGCCTCCCAACCTCTCACCTTGGCGTTTCGAAGTGCTGGGATTACTGGCATAAACCAACTGTACCCCACCCACATTCCTTTAATTACAATTAAATCTCTAGCCTTGAGAATTTCAAAACCTGGGTAGTTTCCACACTTCCACTCCCCAGCTGCCCTGCCAATCCACAGCCCTCCCTCTCTGTAACCTTTTCTGGTTTCTCTTCCCAGCTCTGGGGTGTCACTAAGCAAGGCTACCGCTGTCGGGGTGAGTGGGGCATCAGCGAGTGGGAGGGAAGCCTTGGCCCACGGGCTGGAAGAACGCACGGCACAGATTGGACATCCGGCCATTAACTGCTGCCTTCCCCCAGAGTGCGGTCTGTGTTGCCACAAACACTGCAGAGACCAGGTGAAGGTGGAGTGTAAGAAGAGGCCAGGGGCCAAGGGCGATGCCGGGCCCCCCGGAGCCCCTGTCCCACCCATGCCAGCTCCCCACGCCAGCTGTGGTAAGACCAAGAGCACCGCAGTGCTGGGAGGGGGGCTGGGGAAGGAAGGGGGTTAAGTCCAAGGTCACAAGGCCCTTCCTATCAGACCCACACCCCTTCCATCCGTCCACAAACAGGCTCTGAGGAAAATCTCTCCTACACGCTGTCCCTGGAACCTGAGACTGGGTGCCAGCTTCGCCATGCTTGGACCCAGACTGAATCCCCACACCCTTCCTGGGAACCAGAGACGGTGAGGAGAAACTGCCCTTACCCCCAACTGGATACAGGGGACACAGGCCATTGGCCTGGGGGAGACCGGACAGATTTGGAGACCCACAGGAAAGTAAAAGCATGCAGAAGTCCTTGACTGCTGGGGTGGGAGGGTATGATACTGGAGTTTCGCTCCTGTTGCCCAGGCTGGAGTGCAATGGCGCGATCTGGGCTCACTACAGGGTCATCCTCCCAGGTTCAAGCAATTCTCCTGCCTCAGCCTCCTGAGTAGCTGGGACTACAGGTGTGAGCCACTGTGCCCGGCCTGATACTGGTTAATTTTTAATGCTGATAGAAAAATAGGCCAGGCATGGTAGCTCTTGTCTGTAATCCCAGCCCTTTGGGAGGCCAAGGAAGGAGGATCACTTCAGGTCAGAAGTTTGAGACCAGCCTGGCCAACATGATGAAACCCCATCTCTACTAAAAATACAAAAATCAGCTGGGCGTGGTGGCGCGTGCCTGTAGTCCCAGGAACTTGGGAGGCTGATGCAGGAAAATCACTTGAGCCTGGGAGGTAGAGGCTGTAGTGAGCTGAGATTGCGCCACTGCACTCCAGCCTGGGCGACAGAGCAAGACCCTGTCTCAAAATAAAAAGCAAAATAGAAGTTTCAACATGTTGGGGGTGGGGCGGGATGATAGCCACTAGGAGAACAGAAAGGATTCTAGCCAATGAGATAGCAAGAATAAAGCCAAATATATCGGGAGCTGCCGTAAGTGTCAACGGAGTCAACACCACTGTTCGAGAGCAGAGACTCTCAGATAGGGTTGCAAAAAGGGTTCCACAGGGGACATTCATTCATCTGGGACTTACCAGTCTGGGCAGGACAGTGTTCCTGGCAGTGAAGCGTCTCCTAGACATATGCTCCCCACATCATCTGACGTCTTCCTTTCCTCCTTCCAGGTGCCCTGCCCAGTAATGGACCCACCATCAAGCCCATCCTCCAAGCTGGATTCCTAGGCATCTCTCGGTCTTCTCTTTCCCTCACTCCCTACCCCAGTCAGTCCTGAGTCCTGCCGTCGGACTCTGGTAGGGCTCCCAGAGGTAGGACCCCTAGAGGCATCCGCCTTCCCATCCACACTGCCTTCGGTGGTTCGACAGTCATCATTTTCCCTGGCAGTGACTTTCCTCTCTTGCATGGTGGTGGATACTAATCCTCCTCCCTTTCCCTGCACTTAGTATCTGTGCAGCTCTGTGTTGGACACATTTAGACTCAGGCCTCATTTCACCAACTCCCTAAATCTCCGTTTCAAAGATAAGGAGACTGAGGCTCCTTGAAGTTAAGCCAAGGTGGCACAGTTCCCAAGGGCTGGAGGTAGATTCAAACCCAGGTCTTCCATCTGCTCTAAAACTAAAGCTCCTGACCAACATGCTATGGGTCAGGAGAGGGTAAGGATAGAGCAGGTCTCTGGGATTATAGTCAGGAGAGAAAACTGGGTAGCAGGTAGAGCAGGCAACCAGTGGACACCTCAGTGAGATCACATCCATCCTCTGCTCAGGGGAAACGCCAGAGTCCTCACTATGGCCCCCATCACCCCTCTGACCTTGCTTCCCACCCTTCGACCTGCTTCAGCTACACTGGCCTCAACGTGCCCTGAACATGCCCCAAATAATCCTACCTCAGGGGCCTTCATACTGGCTGTTCCCCAGCCTGGAATGCTCTTCCCCAGAGGCCCGTCTGGCCCCCGCTTTGGAACTGTGCTCCAGTGGCACCTTCTCAGTGAGGCTTCCCCTAACCATAGTCAAGATGCAAGTCCCCTGTCCCCTCCTAGTTCTGATCCTGCCTCCATGCTTTATTTTTTTATTTTATTTTTATTTTTTGAGACAGTCCCACTTTGTTGCCCAGCCTAGAGTGCAATGGCACAATCTCAGCTCACTGCAACCTCTGCCTCCCTGGTTCAAGAAATTCTCCTGCCTCAGCCTCCCGAGTAGCTGGGATTACAGGCATGCGCCACCACACAGGGATAATTTTTGTATTTTTAGTACAGATGGGGTTCCGCCACGTTGGTCAGACTGGTCTCAACCTCCTGGCCTCAGGCGATCCACCCACCTCGGCCTCCCAAAGTGTTGGGATTACAGGTGTGAGCCACAGCGCCCTGCCCCTGCTTTATTTTTCTGCACAGAACTTTCCCCATCTGACAACCTATACTTTTCCCCTTTATCTAGCTTAACATCTGTCCTTCCTCACCAGGAACGTCAGAATATCAGTTCCAGGACAGAAGAGATTTCTTTTTTTATTTTTTGAGACAGAGTCTCGCTCTGTGGCCCAGGCTGGAGTACAGTGGCACGATCTCGGCTCACTGCAATCTTGCCTCCCAGCTTCAAGCGATTCTCCTGCCTCAGCCTCCTGAGTAGCTGGGATTACAGATGCGCACCACCACACCTGGCTAATTTTTGTATTTTTAGTAGAGACAGGGTTTCACCATATTGGCCAGGATGATCTCGAACCCCTAACCTCATGATCCGCCCACCTCAGCCTCCCAGAATGCTGGGATGACAGGTGTGAGCTGCTGCGCCCAGCCGGGAGTAGGGATTTCTATCAGTGTCTTACACTGCTGCATCCCCAGTGCCTAGAACAGGGCTGGCAGGTGGTAGGTGCCTGACAGATGTTTGTCCGATCCCTGAGTGTCTCCCTACCCATGCCCAAGGCACAAGAAAGATGTGCTTTGGGCAAAGAACTTTGAGGGTCAGAGCAGCAGGGGCCCATTCAGACCGAGGGAGCAGAGACACCCCAACCCCTTCACAAACCCAAGCACCCCTGACTTGGCCCCCACAGAGAGAGGTCCTACAACTGTCATAAATTAAATTTATTCTCCAGAGAACATGGCTCTTGGTATTGACGGGTGCATGGGAGTGGGGCATTTGGGGCCTCAGGAATAGGAGATGAGAAGTCAAATACCAAGGAAAAACTTAAACCAACTCCCCAGATGACCAACGGCATTAGCATCTCATGGAGGACCCCTGCCCCGACCCACCAGTCCCTCTTTACTTCTTCTTCTTCTTCTTGCGGCCCCAGCACTGGGGGCCTGTCTTCCGTCCACCTCCACCCTCTGTTCGGCTCCTCCAGGTGGGCATGGGAGCCTCCAGCTCATTTGGGCGGCCTCCCCGGTCTGGAACGTTGCCCATAAGCACCTGAAAGTTTGAGATTTGAGCTGCAGAGGAAAAAAGTATCCTGGACAAGGGCGCCACAGAATAAAGGGAACAGCATAAGGCTGAAGAAGAAAGGCGGATGTTGACTGTTTGAGTACAGTGGCTGGGCGGGGAGAGGGCTGAATGGAAGAGACAAGCATGAGCTTTCTTTTTTTTTTTTTTTTTTTTTTGGGGGGGGGGCACAATCACCCAGGTTGGAGTGCAGTGATGAGAGCACTGCTCACTGCAGCCTTTGCTCCTGGGCTCAAGTGATCCGCCCACCTCAAGCTCATTTTTTTCTTAACTTAAATTTTGCCTTAATCTTTGCTGTGCTAGATTTTATTCCGCAGTACTCATTTTACGTAAGACTACTTACAGAAGTATGCGGCTAGATACCTAATTACTAAAACAGAGGACATTTCTTTTTTTCTTTCCTATTTTTTTTTTTGAGAGACAGAGTCTCACACCGTTGGCCGGGCTGGATCTCAGCTCACTGCAACCTCTGCCTCCTGGGTTCAAGCGATTCTCCTGCCTCAGCCTCCTGAGTAGCTGGGATCACAGGTGCCTGCCTCCACGCCTGGCTAATTTTTTATATTTTTTAGTAGAGACAAGGTTTCACTATGTTGGCCAGGCTGGTCTTGAACTCCTGACCTCGTGATCCACCCACCTTGGCTTTCCAAAGTGCTGGGATTACAGGCATGAGCCACTGCACCCGGCCCACAGAAGGGATTTCTGTTTTGTTTTTCGTTTGTTTTTTTTTTGAGACAGAGTTTCGCTCTTGTTACCCAGGCTAGAGTGCAATGGCGCGATCTTGGCTCACCACAACCTCCGCCTCCTGGGTTTAGGCAATTCTCCTGCCTCAGCCTCCTGAGTAGCTGGGATTACAGGCAAGCGCCACCATGCCCAGCTAATTTTTTGTATTTTTAGTAGAGATGGGGTTTCACCACGTTGACCAGGATGGTCTCGATCTCTTGACCTCATGGTCCACCTGCCTCGGCCTCCCAAAGTGCTGAGATTACAGGCTTGAGCCACCGCACCCGGCTTCTGTGTGGTTTTTTATTTCTATATTTGAGACAGAGTTTTGCTCTTTTTGTCCAGGCTGGAGTGCAGTGGTGCGAACTCAGCTCACCATAACTTCCAACTCCTAGATTTAAGCAATTCTTCTGCCTCAGCCTCCTGAGTAGCTGGGATTACAGGCATGCACTAATATGCCCGGCTAATTTTATATTTTTAGTAGAGACAGGGTCTCGGCTGGGCGTGGTGGCTCACGCCTGTAATCCAAGCACTTTGAAGGCCAAGGCGGGCGGATCACCTAAGGTTGGGAGTTGAAGACCAGCCTGACCAACATGGTGAAACCCCGTCTTTATAAAAAATAAAAATAAAAAAAGATTTGAAAGAAGAAAGAAAGAAAAGAGACAGGGTCTCTTCATCTTGGTCAGGCTGGTCTCAAACTCCCAATCTCAGATTTTCTGCCCACCTCCGCCTCCTATAGTTCTGGGATTCCAGGAGTGAGCCACTCTGCCTGGCAGTCTTTCTTTTTTAAAAAAGAAAAAAAGGTTAAAAAAAACAACACAATAGATACTGTGAGGTGATGGGGAAGGATTTTAAGCCCAAGCTGGAGAAGTGGCCGGGGGCTCAGTAAATAGTTGGACTTTGTTTTCAAATCATGATGGAGCCACAGAAGCGTTCTGAGCTGCGGAGTCCACAGTCAAGCTTTTGTGTGAGAGAGGTCCTTCTGGCTGCTGTGTCTAATGGGTGGATTAGAGGCAGTGAGTCTGAAGCCTGGACCAGAGCAGAGGCTGAAAGGCCAATCTGAAGGCCAAGGATGCCAGGGCCCTCCCCTACCCCAGAGGCTCACCTTGTTGATGGCACAGCAGGTCCCTCTGCGGACAGCCACACTGGTGGCTGGGACAAGACGAGACAGGTCAGCTCGGGCAGCCAGGACATGTGCGAGGGAGATGTCCGATTCTGGGGTGAGAAACTCTCGAAGTGGGATCAGCACTGCCCTCATGGCCTCTCCTTGGGCCTGGAGTGGTGAGGAGGTACAGAGAAGGTCCCCAGGTGGGACCTGTCATCTTGGAAGTATCACTTCCCCACTCAAGACTTCACTGCCCACAGCTCTCAATATACTTTTTTTTTTTTGAGTTGGACTCTCGCTATGTCTCCCAGGCTGGAGTGCAGTGGCACAACCTCAGCTCCCTGCAACCTCTGCCTCCAAGGTTCAAGCCATTCTCCTGCCTCGGCCCCCTGAGTAGCTGGGATTACAGGCACCCACCACTATGCCCGGCTAATTTTTGTATTTTTAGTAGAGATGGGGTTTCACCATGTTGGTCAGGCTGGTCTTGAACTCCTGACATCAGGTGATCCACCCACCTCAGCCACCTACAGTGCTGGCATTATAGGCATGAGCCACCGCGCCTGGCCAAATATTTATTTTTTGAGACAAGGTCTCACTGTCACCCAGCCTGGAGTGCAGTGATGTGATGGTGGCTCACTGCAGCCTCAATCTCCTGGGCTCAAGTGATCCTCCCGCCCTGGCCTCCCAAAGTGCTGGGATTACAGGCATGAGCCACCATGCCTGGCTCTGCTCCTATCTCTTAAAGATGGGGTATACCTCTGAATATACTCCCAGCTCAGAGCTGAGAATTCAACAATACCCTGGGACCCTGAGATTCCAGGAGCCCCAAACCTCAAAAAATTCTAAAATGGCCACAGCCTCAGAACCTCCAAGAGGGTGATATTCCTGGCCTTCATTCTTCCTCCCTGCAACTGCAGCCACCCACAACTGGGCCTCTCCAATTCTGCCCGTTCCTCTGCCCACACCTCTGCCCGGTCACTCCAGTGGAAAGCAGATGTGGTGAGGTCAAGGCGCTTGAGGAGGAGACAGCGGCGGCAGTGGTACTGATCTCTCAGGCTCTGGGACAGAGACTCCAATGCTTCCTGGGAGAAAAGGTCTCAAGGTCAGGCAAGGGGTCCCTCTCACTGCCACCTCTGATGAGGACACAGTTCACATTCAGTCAGTCACACAGTCTTACCCATCTGGGTGCATCTAGCGAGGAGCTGAGGAGGGGCTGCAGGGACCCGGGCGGCAGAGAAGGCTGTAGCTCTGAGATCTAATGAGAGAAGAAGTTAGAGGCCAACTGGGAAAGGGAGGATGGAACCCTCTGTAAACCCAGTTCCCCACAGCCCTGAGGCCACAGATGCAAGAATGGCAGTCACAGCTGCAGAAAGAACATGCCAGTGGTTGGAACACTTCCTTCCAGAGGTGTTAGGGAGAGAGGACCCGCTCCCCCCACCCTTCCGCCCCAAGGAAAGTGGGATAGCCCAGGAGGCAGGGGAGGGTGAGAATTGTTTTGACTCTACCTTAGCATGCAACTCCTGCAGCAGCTGGCTGGCGGGGGTCCCTGGTGCAGGTCTGTGCAGTCCCAGGGCTTGGAGGGTAAGGCCCAGTTCCTGGACCATGCAAGTTCCCTCCACCCCTTCACCAAGGGGTGGTCCAGGACTGGGATCCAGCAGAGAGCGCAGGCGCAGGAGGCGGGTGGCTTGGAGTTCTGAGCAGAGAAAGCCTGAAAGTAGGAAACCAGAGCTGTGCACTCAGAGAGGCTGCGACCCCCATCCATCCATCCTGGTCAAAAAGCTTCATTGGCTTTAAAACCTCCACCTTTGGCCAGGCACAGTGGCTCATGCCTGTAATCCCAATACCTTGGGAGGCTGAGGCAGGAGGATTGCTTGAAGCCAAGAGTTCAAGACCAAACAGGGCAACGTAAAGAGACCCCATTTCCTTTTAAAAAACAGAAAAGCCTCTACCTTCTAGTCTGGCCTACTTAAAGCCTTGGTTCCACCTCCAGTGTAAGCCCCACTCTTAAGACCCTGTCCCCTCCTCCGAATTCGACTCCTGCTTACTTCTGAACGCCCTCCTCCTAATTCAACCCACTTGAGCTCCCAGATCCTCCAATTAAAATTCTACCCCCAGGCCGGAAGTGATGGTTCCTGCCTGTAATCCCAGCACTTTGGGAAGCCAAGGCGGGCAGATCACCTGAGGTCAGAAGTTGGAGATCAGCCTGGCTAACAAAGTGAAACCCCGTTTCTACTAAAAATACAAAAAATTAGCTGGGTTTGGTGGCACGCGCCTGTAATCCCAGCTACTCAGGAGGCTGAGGCAGGAGAATCGCTTGAACCCGGGAGGCGGAGGTTGCAGTGAGCCCAGATCACGTCATGGCACGCCAGTTTGGGCAACAAGAGTGAAACTCTGTCTCAAAAAATAAATAAATAAAATAAATTCTAACCCCGCCTATCTCAGAGAGAATCCTCTGCCCACCCCAATATGCACATCCCACCCACCTCATACCGTCTGGGCCGCCCCAAAGTTCTGACCACGCCCCCTTGGGAACCTCGATTTTCCCTAAAAAGTCGGAGCCCGCAGCTCCTTAGGCTGTGGACTAGCCACTTCCGCACCCCGGGACTCACGTAGCAGGCGCAGGCTGGAGCCGGGTTCCCGAAGCTCAGCCGCGCCATCCCCACCGCAGAGCCTGCGATCCGGACAGTGCAGCTCCCGCAATAGGCGGCCAAGCTGCCGCAGAAAGTCCTCCTCCGCGCCGGGGCCTGCGGGGACAGGGGCGTCACGGCGCGGCGGCCCCGCGGCGGGCCCCCTGCCACCCCCCTGCTCCGTGCATACCGTCGCCGGCGCTCAGCACCTCGGCGCCCGCCTCTCGCTGCTGCTCCAGGGCGCCCAGCTTCGCCAGCTCCGCCGCCAGCTGCGCGCACAGCGCCCTGAAGTCTGGGCATGAGGCGTCCCGCGACGCCAGCCCCGGGACACCCCCATACCTGTGGGGGCCGAAGTAGAGGGAAGGGGCGGGGAGGTCACTGAGAATCCCTTTCTGTCGACGTCCAGGGAGGAGACCTGACCTTCCTGCACCCACCAGCCTCACCACACACCCTCTTACCCTAGAGCCAGCAGGTCCCGGGCCACCGCGGCCCCCTCCCGCGCTTCCGCCTTCACCCCCTCCATGAACGCGTCGCCTCCGCGCCAGGCGCGCGCCCCCTCGCGGCGGGCGGCAGGCTCCGCCCCAGAAGCGCAGCGCGCAAGGGCTCCCAGCGTCTGGCGGTACCAACCAATCGGCATCTTCCCGCCCAGGGACTCCGGTGCTCCCATTGGCTCAGGAAGACGCCGGACACGCCCCCCGGTCCGCCCGTCCCGCCTCTCGAGTAACCTGTCGGGGTTCTAGGAGCCCAACTTCCCCTGCGCTGTAAATTACGGTGCGTCCGGATCTCAGCTGTCACAAGCTGGCGGCGGGTGTCACTGCTGCAGGGACTTCAAAACAACTTCGGTTTCCTTTTCCTCTTCCTCCCTCAGTTGTCTTCTGCTGGTGTTTTGTTGGTTTGTTTTTGAGACAGGTCTCGATCTATCCCTCAGGCTGGACTGCAGTGGCGCCATCACGGTTCACCGCAACCTCAACCTCCTGCGCTCAAGACATCCTCCCGCCTCAGCCTCCCAGGTACATTTTTTTAAAGTAGTCAGGCTTGGTGGCTTGCACCTAGTAGCTGGGACCACAGGCGCAGACCACCGCGCCTCGCTGATTTTTGAATTTTTTTTGTAGGGACAAGGTTTCCCCATATTGCCCAGTCTAGTTTCCAACTCCTGGGTTGAAGCAATCCGCCTGCCTCGGCCTCCCAAAATCCTGGGATTACAGGCGTGAGCCACCGCGACCGGCCAATTTTGCTGTTGTTGTTTTAAAGTTTTGTAAAGGCCGGGCGCAGTGGCTCACGCCTGTAATCCCAGCACTTTGGGAGGTGAAGGCGGGAGGATCACCTGGGGTCGGGAGTTCGAGATTAGCCTGGGCAACATGGTGAAACCCCATCTTTACTAAAAATACAAAAATTAGCGGGGCGTGGTGGCATGTGCCTGTAGTCCCAGCTACTCCGGAGGCTGATGCAGGAGAATCTCTTGAACCCGGGAGGCAGAGGCTGCAGTGGGCCTAGATCAAGCCACTGTACTCCAGCCTGGGCAGCAGAGGGAGACTTCATGTCAAATACAATAAAATTTTGTAGAGGGGGGTCTAGCTATGTTGCCCAGGTTTGCCTCTAACTCCTGGACTCAACCAATCCTCCCTCCTCCACTTCTCAAAGTTTTGGGATTACAGGCTTGAGCCACTGTGCCTGGCCCTGTCCTCTGCTCTTAAAGCAGCCCGGAGGGAGTGGTGTTCACTCAACTCTGCCCAAAATTCAAAACTTCCTCCCTCCTTCCACCTCAGGGTTTGAATTATGTAAGGGACCCAGGAATCCCGGCACATGCCTTACACACCAGGCCCTCCTCATCCATCACAATGTGCCTGTTTGGCCTTCACTCCTCTCCCTTCTAAGCCTGGGAGTGAGCAGGTGCAATGCACCATAGTAGTTAAGAGATGACACCCTAGGAGTCAGGCAGACAAGGGTTAGGGTTTGATTCCATTACTCAGCAGCTCCCTGTTCCTACCAAATTGCTTCCCATCTGTATAATGGGGATAATAGTACCTACCTCTTAAAGTTGTTGCTGAGGATTAATTAGAGTTTCATATATAAAAAGTGCTTAGCAGATATATAGGGCGTACTTAATAAAGAATAACTAATATATATATCCACAGCATTTAAGGTGTACTATTGGGTGAAGCATCTTATCTCTTTTCAGAGGAGAAAAATAAGTTTGAGAGAAGTCACGGAGTGAATTCATGATGGTGCCAATAAATGAAGATCAAATTCCAAATTCTATGCTTTTAAATCACTGAGCCAATTTCTACTGTTATTACCACTATTGTTTTGTTGCTGTTGCTAAGAAAACATTGTATCAGAGCTCATCTCTTCCTTACTGTATCCTGGTATCCAATAGTTCCTAGACATTCTGCTGGAAGTTGGGGGTGGACCAGGAGCCTGGAGGAAAGAACAGGGATAGAACTTCTTCCTTGGCTGGGTGCGGTGGCTCACATCTGTAATCCCAGCACTTTGGGAAGCTGAGGTGGGCGGATCATGAGGTCAAGAGATTGAGACCATCCTGGCCAACATGGTGAAACCTCGTCTCTGCTAAAAATACAAAAATTACACACCTGTAATCCCAGCTATTCGGGGGCTGAGGCAGGAGAATTGCTTGAACCTGGGAGGTGAAGGTTGCAGTGAGCAAAGACTCGCCACTGCACTCCAGCCTGAGTGACAAGAGAGAAACTCCATCTTTAAAAAAAAAAAGAGAAAGAACTTGTTCCTCAAGGGCAGATCTGAGTAACCCCATAACCCTGTTTACCCCAAGACAGTACACTTTGGGGGCCATTTGTTGACCTAAATCAAATGTTAAAAATTGCCCAGAGGCAGGCTACAGTGACTCACACCTGTAATACCTGCACTTCAGGAGGCTGAGATGGGGGGATCACCTGAGCCCAGGAGTTTAAGACCTGACCAGGCAACATAGTGAAACCTCATCTCTACAAAAACATTTTTAAAATTAGCCAGGCTTGGTGGTATGCACCTGTAGTCCCAGCTACTCAGGAGGCTGAGGTGGGGGGATCACCTGAGCCCAGGAGTTGAGGCTGCAGTGAGCTGTGATCAGGCCACTGCACTCCAGCCTGGGCAATGAACTCAATTAAAAATAAAACAAAAGCCTGGTGCAGTGGCTCATGCCTGTAATCCCAGCACTTTGGGAGGCCGAGGCAGGATTACCTGAGGTCGGGAGTTTGAGACCAGCCTGACCAACATGGTGAAACCCCGTCTCTACTAAAGATATAAAAAATTAGCTGGGCATGGTAGCACGTGCCTGTAATCCCAGCTACTCAGGAGGCTGAGGCAGGAGAATTGCCTGAACCCAGGAGGCGGAGGTTGCAGTGAGCCAAGATCGCGCCATTGCACTCCAGCCTGGGTAACAAGAACGAAACTCCGTCTCAAAAAAAAAAAAAAAAAAAAAAAAAAAATCGGATGTCAGGTGGAAAAAATAAAAAATAAATAAATTGCTCCAGCCAAAAACCTGGACTTACAACCTTGACTCCTCTCTTTATCGCAAACCGCATATATAAATCTGTGAATTCTACTTACAAAGTGGTCCCAGCAGCTGCCCACTTCTCTGCCCTCCAGGGCCCTCACCCTGGGCCTGTCCGCTGATGTCTTGTCCTGAACCATCACAGCAGCCTCCTCTCTGTCAAGCTGCCCCCTCCCCCAGCTCCCACTCTGTTGACTACTTGCAGCAGAGGCAGCCTGTGAACTCCTGAGTCAGGTCACATCCCTCCCACGTTTGAAATTTCCTGTGGCTCCGTCTTACTCAGGGCAAAATCCAGAGTCCACTCAATGGCCTGCAAGGCCTTACACATTCGCCCCGGCGCCTCTCAGCCCTCATCTCCTGGCACTTTCTCCCCTCTTAATTCCCTGAACCTCCTCAGATTTCCCAGGCACACTCCTGCCTCAGGCCCTTGCACTAGCTGTTTCCTTTACTTAAAATACCCTTCCCTGCAGACATCCTCAGGACTCCCTCACCTCGCTCAGGGTTTTATTCAAATGCCAGCTCCTGGCCGGGCATGGTGGCTCATACCTGTAATCCGAGCACTTTGGGAGACCAAGGCGGACAGATCACTTGGGGTCAGGAGTTCGAGACCACCTTGGCCAACATGGTGAAACCCCTGTCTCTACTCAAAATACAAAAATAAGCCAGGCATTGTGGCGCGTGCCTGTAATCTCAGCTACCCAGGAGACTGAGGCAGGAGAATCGCTTGAACTCGGGATGCAGAGGCTGCAGTGAACGGAAATCATGCCACTGCACTCCAGCCTGGGTGACAGAGCCACACTCCATCTCAGAAACAGGACAAATGCTGGCTCCTGAGGAGGCCTAACCTGGACACTCTAGCCAAAACGGCCTGCATTCCGTTCCCACTTCCTTTTTTTTTTCTTTCTGCTTTATATCATTTCTAACATAGTAAGTCATTTACTCATTGTCTCCCCTTCTATAAAGGGACTTTTGTCTGCTCTGCCCACTGCTTTTTCTCGAGTGCTTTCAACAGGGCTTGGCATGTAATAGGTGCTCAATAAATGCACTTGTTGAGTGCCTTATTAAACTCAAGGGTCTGATGGGACCAAAGGACATGGAGGAGAAGGGAGAATGTAAGTCGGAGACTGGTCTGGCAGTTCAGGAAGGCGAGTGGGCGGGGTGCACAGAAGCAAATAAATAACACAGGCTAAGACTTTGTCACAGACATTTCTTGGAGCAGATCTCATGCCCCCTCCCCCCGTTGACAAGGCTGGGTCTTTGGCCCCCATCCTCCCCCACCGTTTCAGCCTGCACTGACACTGACAATATTGAGGTCACAGACTGGCTTAGAATCAAGATCAGGAAGATATAAGTTGGGGTGCCTCCCCCAAATCTGGGGGCCAAGCATCCGATCTGAGGGGCAAGCGGCTGGGAAACTGGGCCTGGGGGTGCCAGGGGCTGAGGTCTTCCTGGCTCCCAGGGTGGCCCTCCATGCACCCCGATTTGGGGGCAGTGAACGGGAATCATGGATCAGAGGTGGGTCTCAGCGGGGAGCAGGCCTGGGAGGCCTGAAAGAGGCGCTGCTGGGAAGTGGCGGCCAGGGGACCTTTCCCCAGCCCCCACCGCGTCATCTGCACATCCCACAGCACCGTACAGCACTCTGGTCCCCTGTCCCACCCCTCCCCAAAACGAGGTAGGTTAAGAATGGAGCTTCCCCCCCGCCCACCACGGAAGGGGGGAGACCGAGGCACAGAGAGGGGCATGGGGACCCAGGCTGCCCCAGCCCCCAATCCCTCCGCCTTCAGCTCTGGTGAGTCTGACAGTGATGAGAGCTGGGCAGAGTGAGGAGGGGAGAGACACCCTGCTTTTCTCTCACCCATCCGAGGGGCTGGTTGGGAGAGCTAAATCTCACAGGTTCCGGATATAATAAATAGTTAATAATTTAAAGGAAGAGACAGAAGACCTATCCTTTGAACCCCAGCAAGGCCACCCAAGTCTGGGTCATGAAGAAAGGTAAGTGCACAGTTCCAGATGCTTGGGGCCAGATGCAGATCCCAAGCCCATACAACATTGAGACTGTCTTGCTCCAAGACCTTGACGCCCCCATACAGGA